AAATTTTTGCGCTACAGAATAACCCACCTAATATACAACGAATAGGAATGGTTGGATTTGGACCCCCGATATTTTATGGATGTCCTGGAGAAGATCCAGAAGACTTCCTTAGAGATTTTCAGAGATATGTAGTAGCTAGTTGAATAAATGTAGCTCCTGGAGCGGGCCAGGCAGCCAGAAGAGAAGAGGCTTTAAGTTTATTAATATCATGTCTTGAAGGTGATGCTAAAAGATGGTATGAAACCCGCATTAATAGTAAAAATTGGAAGTGTAATAATCTCTCGGACAATCTAGATGTAGCAAACTTGAATGCAGTTCGTGGAATAGGCGCTGGGAATGGAGGTAATCAAATTGGTGGTTTGAACACTGCAGGAGAATTTCGCAATGCATGTGCCACAGAAATTGGCAGAATTGAAGCGGGAGTCGCAACTAGTGCTAATATTATTCCAAATGGAACATGGGATGAAGACTAGTCTATAGCTGGTGGTGAACCTACAAATAATGCGGTAGTAGCCCCGAATACGGCTGGTGGTTTTCCTGCTGTTACAATTGCTCCTGGAATCAAACTTGGCCAGCTTATTTTCTTACTCAGAACTGCCTATACAACCGTCGAATATTTAAAACAAATGGCAGTTTTTGGTCAACTTATACAAGGAAATATGGGCATTGAAGAGTTCTCTGCTAAAATCAAAAAGGTTGGTAAAATAGCTAGAATGGCTCCCGAACAACAAAGAGAGCAATTCATTCGTGGCTTAAATCCTATGAATCAGTATAATATTCGAATGATGGCTAAGTTTAATGATACGCAAGATAATATTACAGAAGCCTTAGCCGAAACAAAAAATTTTACATTATCTCAAAAGAGTGTGCCATCTTCTTTTCCAATTTTTCCGACAGCCAACCCTTATGCAGATACTAACAAATCAGGAATGACTAAAACTGAAATCGTGGATTTGATAAAAACCGCAATGGCATCCTCCGAGTCTCAAATGGCTCAACAAAATACTAATTTGCAGTCTACTATTAAATCCTTCCAAGAGACTATGTTTCGAGCGACTAAAACTCTAGATAATAGTAAAAAATCATCTAAGAAGAGAGCGGAAGATATTGGCATTAATCGCTTTTTGAGTGACTTACTAAGAAAAAATCCAGGTAAACACC